ACACGCACGTGAACCCCAGGAAGCACGCCCACACATGCTCGTGAGCGGGAAGGCGGGAAGCATATCTTTCTTGGCCTCGCGGGCTGGGTCCCTGGGGCGCCGCGGACACGGGGCATTTCTTTGCGGATGCCCCGCGCGGAACGTACCTGTGAGACCGCGTATCCGCGGGATCGCGCCCCAGAATCCAATCCGCGAGGGCGTGGATATCGATACGTTCATCGCTCGTGAAGTGCGTCGGGGGGGGAGGACGATGCGCGAGTGGGCTGGCCTCGACAATGCTATCTGCCGCGCCACCGCGTGCAGCGGCGACTCCGAGGGCGGAGAGAAGTCGTCGGAATCCGAGTCGCGGTCGGAGCCGGCGGTGAGCGGCTCCATCGGGCCCTGCCCACGCCACCCCACCCGCAGGCGGGCGACGAAGGAAAGAGGGGTCCTACGCGCGCGAGGACGCAGATGCGGTGCGGGGCTCTGGATGAGGAGCCCTTGGACAAGAGATCCAGGGTCTGGAAGCCAGCGGAACACCAATCGAGGCTTGGCCGTGGATCTCCAGCCGCCGCCCTCATCGGATAAGACAGCCTCCAGGGTCGACGGGCACCTGGGCACACTCCTCAACGAGCGCCCCCAGGGTACCTCACGCGGTGGCTTGCGCAAGTCGCCAAGCGTGGAGAAGGGGGCAATCACGCGCTGCCTTGCGCGGGCCGGCTTGCGCGCGACATTTCCGAGAACATTGACCCAGTGTGTGGGCGCCATGCCCCCGTCCAAACCCTATCTGCACACTTGCCAGAACACGCATGCTAAGTCCTGGTCCAACCCGGCGCCCCCGTTGAGGCGGCCAGTGGTAGAAGTGGTCACGCGCGGTGGATCAATGCCAGATTGATGCCGACGCATCTAGGTGGCATACTTTACCAGAGGAGAGCGGGTAGCCGACGCAGTGAAAGCCGAGCGCGGAAACCTGGTGGAAACATCGAACGGCAGACAGTATCAGTCAGGGATGCGGGAGGTTGCTGTGGCAACTACTGTTCTGGAGACTGTCAAAATAATGTGGTGTAGGACCTTATCACTGCCTTGCTGAGGAACGTCTGGTTCAAACAGCCGCAACCTGATGGGGGTCTTGAGAAGATCTCTGCAGTGGGCAAGCAACAGAGACACAAGAGTGATCGCAATGCGGCAAATTGTAGTTAGTGTAAGGTTGCAAGCATTCGCTCGTGTGGTTCGCAATCGTGTAGACAACAGACGTGTTATCGCCACCAGAGAGGATTGGTAAACAATTGCCTGCTCTTGGCACGTGTCTGGCCAGACGACTATGACGCACTCAGAAACACAAACATCTCTGTACGCGAAGCATACAGTACCGAACGCATCAACCACATGTACGTGTAACCCTCAAGATGACTGGACATGATCGCTAGGGGCTTTGTCGGGTCGGCTGAGGGCCATTCGACAACTTGTAAGTACAATTATATGCAATTGCCAATCGGACGAACAAACATCTCAATGTCCATGTACCCCCCCGAAGCATGAGTCAAACGCCGCCCCATTTGGCCATGGAACGCGCCAGTTCTGCACAAAGCTGGACTCGCCACTAATTCACGCGCCTTTATCCACGTTGGAGCTTCTTCGAATATGCAGAAAAACTGGGCCAGATGGGGGCTTAGGACATTCCCGCCGCCACGCCCTGCTGAAGCCTCCGCAAGGTCCCCTGGACGGCCATAGCCTTAATCCAAAATTCTCGACCCCCTCGCAGGGGCCAACTCATCCCGGGCAGCTTTTGTGGTTGACTGCCCCAAGGGCCCAAAATGCCCCACGCCCGAGGCCACAAACAACAGGAACAGCTCGTCGTGGCGATCTCTCGTGGCATGGGGAGCATGAGTCCTCCCCCCTCCTCCTCCTCCTCCTTCTCCTCCTCCTTCTCCTCCTCCTCCTCCTTCTCCTCCTCCTCCTCCTCCTCCTCCTTGTCCTCCTCCTCCTCCTCCTCCTCCTCCTCCTCCTTGTCCTCCTCGCCTGCGCGGTAAACATTGGCCCCGCGACCTCTCCTGGGGTGCGGTCGGGCTGGCCAGAGTCTCGAGAGGGGCCTCAGCCTCGGCGACAGGACCGCCCCAGGAGGCCCGAAAGGGGCAACCAAACACGTTCAGACACCTCGATTCTCAAACCTCGATCTTCGATCCTCCTCCACCCTCCTCCTCCTCCTCCTCCTCCTCCTCCTCCTCCTCCTCCTCCCCTCCTCCTCCCCCTCCTCCCCCTCCTCCCTCCTCCCCCTCCTCCTCCTCCTCCTCCCCTCCTCCCCCCCTCCTCCTCCTCCCTCCTCCTCCTCCTCCTCCTCCCTCCTCCTCCTCCTCCTCCTCCTCCTCCTCCCCCTCCTCCTCCTCCTCCTCTCCCTCTCCTCCTCCTCCTCCTCCTCCTCCTCCTCCTCCCTCCTCCTCCTCCTCCTCCTCCTCCTCCTCCTCCTCTCAGTACCGGCCAGGCGAGCACACTTGCAGCTGCACGCTTCTTCTAGGTCTTCCGTCTAAAATGCGGCGACACAGTAGACCCGCACGCCCTACCTAGTGAGGAGCGGGGTCTTGGGTTTCCCATGCGATTGCTGTGGATGTTGGTTTCCAGCTTTTTGGGGGAAACCCGTCGCGCAGTTCTGTTCCGTTTCAGGAGATCCTGGCGGGCTGTACGCATGCGACCTTTCTGCTACATCTGCTGACGCATCGACTGGCTCAGCGGGTCCACTCAGAGGACCCCGATGGACGACATCGGCATTCCGAGTATTTCCCAGGATCCTGGAGATGTCAAGCAGTTGGCCCAAGCCAGCCTGCGGTTTCGCCTCGGGCGCGGCGCAGCTGGGGCTGGTGCTCGAGGCGGCCAAGAGAGGATGAGGCCCCTGTGTCGAGACGTCTCTGGAGAGACGTGCAGGCCCAGATGGGCGTCATGCAGATCTGCTACAAGGCCCTGCATGAGGAACCTGGGCCACGAGCCGTCGGGGGCCCGGCGCTCTGCGTCGCATGGAGAAGCGTCGTCTCGAAGCCCTCTGCGGGCGCCGGCTTCGTTCCCAGCTGCTGCTGGCAGGTGAGCTTCTGCGCTCTGGCGTCCGGGCGCCCTCCCTTCCCTGGCGCATGTGGTGCTGCAGTGGCTGGACTTTCCCATTCAGCCCTTCGCGAATTGCGACTTATGGCTGCAATTCTTAACAGTGCTCCCGGCAAGTCTTCCACACTAGTCACGGCCCATTTCACCAGCCACAAGTCCGAACACCACGACCCCATTTATCATGCTACTCTCGAGGTGGTCCTGTGGTACGCGTCTTGGGTCTGGGACTCCAAGGTTCAGCCTGGCCGTCTCCATCATGCGTGGTCTCGTCTGCGGGACACGTTCAGGGGCAAGCCGTCGTAGGCTCAAGCGAGGCCCCCCCCTGGGCGCAGCGGGGCTGTCACTTGAGATGTTTGCCTGGGACCTGGTATCTAGTCGTGTGGTGGCTGATGCCTCAGGCTGTGCCCGGCTGATCTCAAGGTCTTCCTGATTGAGGGGGTCCAGGGGTGGCAGCACGAGCGTCTCCTCCGCCATTTCTCGACAGAGTCGGCAAGGTCTTTCTCATCGGTCTGGCACCGTGCCCTACATGTGGGGACCTCGAGCATTATAGGTGCTCGCAGGCTCGGTGCTCTTCAGGCGCACTGGGCTGGTGGCATACCGATCCCCGAGACCCTGGATGCAACGTCGGGAGGCCCGACGAGGCCTTGTCAAGCGTGCGGGCAGGTTGTTCAGGGTTGTTGCTGGGGCCACAACTTTTGCGACTGTCCTGGGTTGCTTCATGTGGCCCCGGGAGATGAGCGAGACCCTCTACCCGAGCATCTTGTCGAGGTCCGAGATAGGTTGCGGACGGCGAGGGAGACTGTGGGCCAGCTTCACGGGGTAGCGGGTACCTGGTCTACGGGGTCCCTGAGCCTCCAGTCGGAGTTCCTGGTCTGGACAGCATCTCGGATGTGATCCTAGAGTGGGGCGGCGTCTCGGGCAGCTGGGGTCCCAAGAGTTACACAAGCGGTTGGGGGTTGGCTTCGACTCCAGAGACTAGGCGATGCGGCTGGTCAGTCGTGCAGCTGGACGCCGTGTCCTTGTTGCTTGTGCGAGCGGCCTATGAGCCGCTACAGTATATAAAACAAGCAATTGGCCGTGCTGAACACTATGCGATTAAACAGGGGATGCAATACCACCCTGATCATCTGGAGTTTGTCTCAGATCTCAGGTTCGTGGTCCAGGAAGGAAGCGAATGGGTCCCGAGGCTTCAGCACGGTCTGGCTAAGCATGCACGAGTTTGGAGAGATATCTTTATTGTGGCACGTCGGCGAGCTGCGGAGTTGCCACAAGTGCTTTTTAAGTGGACACCTGCTCATCGTGACCTCAACGTTGTGCTCGACTCTCCAGACCAGCTGGAGGACTGGCGCAGCAACGCCTGGTCCGACCTTTATGCGAAGCTCGGGACCTCCGAGCACATGATCGCCAATACCGTTTCGGAGTCAGTGCGCCTGGCTTTGAAGGAACGCACGCGGATATTGTCGGACACCTCGTGGGCTGCCCAGAGAGTTGTGGTATGCCAGAGGTCTGGGCGTGATGTGTGTTCCCCCGGCGAGGCCTCCCGAGTTGCGGTTCCCTGGCTTGGTCCAGCGAGCCGACGATCACGTGCTGAAGTGTGCGCCCCAGCTCCAGGAGTATCGGTGTCAATCGTGCAGAGTGGCTGCCAAGACGCCGTCGCTGCTCGACTCTCTTCGGGCCAGAGGGTGAGGAGGTGCTCGCCGAGTGGGCTCAAGAGGGCCCTGGCCGCGGATGTCTTTAGGATTGCCTTGATGGGCCACTATCACACCACCACTACCATGGGTAGGACGGGGGGAAAGGTAGGATGAGGAGGTCCTCCTCCTCCTCCTCCTCCTCCTCCTCCTCCTCCTCCTCCTCCTCCTCCCTCTCCTACACAGTTATGGCAGTGATTGTGGAACATTGGTCCATCATGCCTGGGAACGCGTGAGTAAGGTCCGCGTTGCCTCTGCGCTTGCTGCTGCCGAGGCCTCCTCTCCTGTTGAGGAGGCCCCTGGTCCTGGGCCCGCCGTTCCCGAGGGGCCTGACCAGCAGCTGGAAGTCGTCGAGAGCTCAAGCGCGGGTGCGGCGGCCCTCATCGCCGAGCTTGGGGCTCTGGGCCATGACGTTTGCGTTGTGAGTTCGATCCGTTGCTGTCGGAAGTGTGCCGGCCATTGTCGGTTGGATATGGTCCGCTCTGTCCGCAGGCTCCGACGGGCGTGTGAAGGCCTCGACCGTGCCAGCCGCGGCTGGCACGGTCGCAAGGATCGAGCGTGCCAGCCGCGGCTTGGAGCCCCGACCGGGTGGAGGGTAGTCTGCTGCCCGATGTCTGGCCCAGGAGTTTTCTGGTGTCGGGGTTGGCCTGATACCCCGACTCTGCCCTGGTGTTAGGTCGGGCGTGTCCCCCTACAGGCGGATTTTTGGCGAACAATGAAAAATACGCAAACAGATACCCCTACATAGTCAAACCTAGTAAAACAATACTCCACAGACTATGTTTTGACTATTTCTGAATACCCGATTGAACCCTGGTGCACGCCGCCGCTGCGGCCCCTCACATTTCCCGAGGTGTGTTTTCGTCTCGTGCGGACGCGCTCTTGGGACTCGCTCGCTTGCCCTGAGTACCCGCCACAACGCCCGCTCAACACCGCTGCCTGGACTGCTCCCGCTGGGCCCGTCCTGCCTGGTAGGGGTAACACGTTTCTTGCCCTCCTCCTCCTCCTCCTCCTCCTCCTTCTCCATCTCCAACTCCTCCTCAGGCGCTTCCCCCTCCTCCCCTTCTTCTTCTTCTTATTTTTCTTCTTCTTCCTTTTTATTGTTCTTCTTCTTCTTCTCCTTCTTCTTCTTCTCTTTCCCATGCTCTTTTGATATTCCTCCTCCTCCTCCTCCTTAACGACTGCTCAATATAAATACTACTTTCCTCTCCTCCGACAGCGTCCTTGAAGTGTCCCGCCCTCATCGCGTATCGGTACTTGTTGCACTCGGGGCGTTTGCAGTGTTTCAAAATGGTGCTCCCGCTGCAGAGTGGGCCTCATTTCAAGATCGGCGCTATGCTCCCGTCGTTTAGAATTGTGCTCTCGCCCCAACGCGGGCCACTTTTCTGGATCCGTGTCCTTCCTCATCGTTGTCGCCCCACTCATTCTCCCTCTCCCGCAATCTCCTGGTGATCCTGCTGCTCCATCTCCTCCCATTCCTGCCCCTGCTTCTGCTCCTGCTGCTGTTGTTACTCCTCGTTCCATTCCTGTTCATTTTCCTCCTCGTCCTCCTATTCATCCGCCACCTCATCCTCCAATGTGCGGAATTCCCTTACGCTACTAGCACATGCCACGCTGGGGTCCTTTTGAGATTCCCATGTCCGCTATGACACCCGTCGGCAGTTGTAGAAGCATCAGCGCGATATGAAGAGACGGGCTGGGGGTGGGGGGTGGGAAGGATGTCAGATATGACACGAGCGCGCCTAATTTGTCCTCTTCCTCTCTCCTTCCCCCTCCCCCCTCCCTCTTTCCTTCTTTCCCTTCCCCTACCTCCCTCCCTCCCTCCCTTCCTTCCTCCTCCTCACCCCCAACATCGAACGTTGGACCTCTCCAGGGGTACACTTTGCCAAAAGAAACCACCCTTGGCGACGAGAAGACCCTTGGATGCCCAGACATGGCGAGGAGAGCAAACAACTGAAACGTTCGAAGTCCGAACCTCGATCCTGGACCCTCCTCCCTCGTCCTCCTCCTCGTCCTCCCCCATCCATTGTCCTCGCAAGTAACTGCTCCTTGTTGCGCCTCTGGACGTGTCAGTAGGGTGGGCCAGTCGTTTCGCCTGAAACTTACCCACCATTAACGGTCCTGACGCTTGAGTTTTGCAACACCTTTACGTTTGAGAGCGGGTGTCTTTTAAAATGTGGCTCTCGCCTTAGCGCCGTGCCCATTCGTCTTAAAGGTTGCAGACAACTCAAATATGGAGGGCGGTTCCTTTAACACAAATGTGGCTCTCGCCTTCGCGCCGCGCACATTCGTCTTTACAGTTTGCAGCAATGTAAAGGACTCGTTTGGTTAAAGTTCCTGGAATGGTGTTCTGGCACAATTTCAATTGTCCGGACGGAACAATCACATTGACTCGCGGTGCTGAAGTCCCACGAAGGTTGTTCTGGCACGATGTATTGGCCTGTCAGGACGTAGCGGCAACGTTGATCCGTGGCATTGAAGTTCCAGGAATGGCGACTTGGCACGATTGCGGATTCTCAGACGATTGTCTTCGAAAGGGCCACTTCCCGCAATGAGATGCTGTTCTTGTGTGGACCTATGAAGTGGGAACTCGCAGGGAGGGTTCATTGCAACATCATTGATGCATCTTGGGTTTACACTGGTCCTCCTCATCTTTCTCCTCCTCCTCCTCCTCCTCCTCCTCGGAAGCTCCTCCTGCGCCAGCGCGTACGAGTCGCCCGGGCCGCCGCGTGGTAGCGAGTGGCGCCTCGCGGAGGCTTCCGCCACCGCCGCCGTCGTCGTCGCTGCAGTCGCCATGTCGCCCCATCATCGTCGTCGCTGCCGCCGTTGCCATCCTCGTCGTCGCCGCCGCCGTTGTCGTTGCCGCCGCCGTCGTCGCCGCTGCCGTCATCGTCATCGTCATCCCCTCCCCAGACGACCTCAGGCGGCTACGAACATCGTGCAAATAATTTTTCTCGCGATACTGTGCGCCGAGAGGCCGTCTCCTCGGTACTGTCAAAATCAAGGGCTGTTCCTGGTCCAAGGTGAACTGTGAACCCATCTATCTTACGGCAGATGGCCTCCAGTGCACCCCTCGCAAGGCCCAGAGGGCCCCAGAGATTGCAAACTGGCGCGACAAAGTGGAAGAAACTGGCGCGAAATGCTGAGGACACATTGGGCCAGGATCACCTCTGGCAACCTGCGACAAAACGACGGCCAGCGACTCGAACCAACATCGAGCCTTTGAAGTCTGGGTGCACCTGCCTCTGTATCTGCCTCTGCCTCCCGATCTGCCCCCCCTCCCTCCCCCACGTGCTGCTGCTGCTGCTGCTGCTGTCCGTCCTCCTCCTCCTCCTTCTTCTCCTGCTGCTTCCTCTTCTCCGTCTCCGTCTCTCTCCTACTCCTACTCCTACTGCTGCTGCTGCTGCTGCTGCTGCTGCTGCTGCTGCTGCTGCTGCTGCTGCTGCTCTTCCTCTCCTCGTTCCCCTCCCCGCCCCCGCCCCCGTCCCTGCTCCCCCGCTCCTGCCAATGCCCTGCCCCCAGAGCGGCTGCCGCACGAGCGCCGTGGCCCGGGAGGGCGGAGCTCCCCTCCGCCCCCGCCCCTGCGGAGTTGGCCTGCGCCTCGTCGCTGCAGAGGGGCGCGCGCCGCCCCGGGCGGCGAGCGCCCCAAGAGCGAGGCGCCATCCACCCCGAAGGCTTCGGGGCCCGAGAGCCGCGCGGTGACGGAGCGCGTGGTGACCTCGGAAACGCCAAGGACCTTCTCACCGCGGTCCGTCCCCGCACGGTCTTGGGGCCTCGGAGGCCCCGGTCGCCCGAGGCGCCCTCGCGGAGCGGCCCGAGTCCCGAAACCGTGCGGTGGCCCCGAATTCCCACCGACTCGCCACGCGGCGTGGTCACCACACACCTATTCGGGGGCCCCCGAAGGGCGGGGATGGCGCCCCGGTCTCCCCCGAGACCGCGACGACGGCGCCGAGGGGCGCGGCCGCGCCGCCTCGCGCGGCCCGCTCCGCCGCGCGGCGGGGAGCCGCGCGGCGGCGGCAGCGACCGGCCACCCGTTGGACGGCCGGCCCGAAACGCCTTCGCCGCGCGGCGGCGCCCGCTGCCGCGGCGGAGGCCAGGCGCCTTGTCGCGCGGAGGCGCCGCGGCGCGCGGCGGAGGCGGGGCGAGGCCGCTCCGCCGCCTACATAGCGCGGCCCGCTCCGCCGCGCCGCTGCGGGCCGCACTCTGCTGCGGGCCGCGCCCGAGGCCTGCGCCGCGCCGCGAAGGAAACAGACGGGCGCCTCTGCGCCGAGGGGCGCGGCCGCACCTGGGCCGCTCGGCCAGAGCGACGGCGCGGCAAGGCGAGGAGGGCCCAAGCACCCCCCCGGCGACAAGAATGCACGCCCCCCTGCAGTCAGGCTGCAGTCAAAACTGATAGCAAGGATGCGCGAGAAGGATGCAGGGCCTTGGACTCCCACTGCCGAAACTTTTCGAGCGGGGTTGGCCATCGAACGTGGTTGAGGATGGACCGAAGGTGACCGAAGAGGCAAGGATGCAAAGGTACCCTTGGGAAGTTGATCATCCTTGCTATCTTTTTCGACTGTACTACGAAGAAGGAACGCCACAGAAGGAACGAAGCCCCTTTCTGGCCCCTGCAGCGCGTGGGTGCAGGAGGAGCGCTGGAGGAACAGCCATGGGAAGACCTACGGAACAGGTAGTAGCCCCCTTCGAGCCCGAACTGCTCCTTATGTCAACGTCTTGGCTGGATGGGAGCGCCTCCAGCGCGGCTCCGCGCACCGCCGCCCCAGCTCCCAGCGGCAGCCGGCACCTTTGGCGAGCTGGCCTTGCGGCGCTCTGCGTACGCGGCGCTCAGTGGCAACGCGCGCGCAGCAGCACTAAGCATGGCAACGACGTTGGCCAGCTGTTGGCCACGGCCAGGCCGTTCACCTGGACGAGGGCAGCAGCGACGCGCCAAGCAACGGAGGACTGCCACGGAGGCCACGGAGGACTCCTGCCACTGACCAGCAGCCACTTCTGGCACCTCGTCTTCGTTGCCAGAGGCTGCGCACTCTCGCTGGGGCGGCCCCCGAGACTCTGAGAAAGAGAGCGCACGACGAGATCGTGAGCCCCGCATGGCGCCACCGCGTGGCTGGCTCTCCCTCCACTGTTGCTGCCCCGTCCACCCGTCCTGGCTGGCTGGCTGGCCGCTGCCCACATCCGGGAACATCGTTGTGCGATCCCATTACAGCAACTGCGATGCACACTCGCCTGCAGTCGCACTCGAACGT